CGAAAACAAAATTGGCCAATTTTCAAAAGAATAATTACTTGAAAAACAATTTGTCTTGGCGTCCGGGAACCAAAGCCTGAATGTGTGTAAAGAATCAAAGTTGGCTAAACTTTAAAACTGTTTCACGAGTCAAGTAGAACCCACGCTATTTATTCATACATGCTTATCTTTGAGCGGTGAGGTAAACACTTCAAATAGATGACGCTATCTACGACCCATTGTCTGTGCTATGAGTCACTGTGGCGTGATCTGTCTCGTGTCGGGTAGGGCCCAGGTGGAGAATCGCTTTACCTGATTGCATCAGAAGAGCTTTACTTTTTGCCCTTCTTCTTAGTCTACTCACTCGACTAACAACGACTTGCATACAGACAGCAAACAATAAGTGTCAAAAAGTACCCCCCCCCCAAAGTGTTGTAACATTTATTGTAGTTAGTCACATGACCAATAAAGTCTTAAGTGCTTACGTGATAGGTTTGGGCAGAAGAAAAAACATGGTTTTGACCCCCATGTATATTTACATGGTTTTTCTTTGACCACAAAAAAAGGAAATTGTTTCAATAACTAGTGATTTTTAATTAGTTGCCAGTTGCCATGTTACCAATAATGTCTGTTTTACGAGCAGACTGGCGCCCGGTCTGCATATTATCAAAACTGATTGTCGCGCGGGAACCAGCCTATACCCGACCGAAGGGACTCATTGACTTGTAGCCATGATCGGTCTTGTAAATTCAAGTCTCATTCGAAAGTGAATAAAGATTGTATTGTATACAAAGTAGCAATTCAGAAAAAGGATCCGTTTTTTTTAATAAAACTCAATATTAACATGGGAGGACGCAGCTTTAAACTGTGAGATACTTTCAAATAAAGTTTGTTCCTTGCACGAATTTAAATGTGCATGTAAATGGCACTGTTGAACACGAAGGAGATCTCCAAAAGGCACAAAGTTGTAAACATAAACGTTATCTTCACTTGAACTCTACGTGTGGCAAAATCAATTTATGTAAGCTTAGTGAAAGAAATATATTTTTTATTCAAAGAAACTGCATAGAAAACTAAGGCCTTATCCTCTCTGAGTGCTTCCCGTTTGCTATTTCCCGGGTTTGCAGCATTGCTAACGTGCCTGCATCGTGACTTTGGGCGTGCTACCTTGTTAAATGATACTTAATGTTTTCCGGCTTCTGCCTAACGCGTATAATAATAACAACAATAATAATAATAATATAGTTTATATATATATATGGTGTACATTCGAGCTCGGAAATAACATTGAAGCCCAAGGACGTAATGCAACGAAATTAAAGTATCTGTCAATGGAATTTGAACGATACCAGAATCGAGGTAATGGAAAAACTTAGGCCCGCTCTAAACGTGGAAGTTCTATCGTGTCAAATTCAATAAATTGCATTTGGCAAAAAAGCGGCAGAAGTGCGGCAGTTGCTCTTAAGGGGCCATTCAGAATTTTCAGTGTTTTAAAATTTCGACTTTTTTTCCAAATTAGTTTGACCCACCCACCCACCCCTAATTTCGATTAATAAAAAACTGAACATGTACATGTACATGCACTTGCATGTACATATACTTGAACATACACATGTATACCCATGTACATGTGTGTCTAGTTCAGTGACGGCGTGAAGTTGTCAGTCTTCCTCTTTTGCACTGGTGACCTTCAGTTTTCGTGTGTTTTGCCAGCTGATATGCTGTTGGGAATGACAGGTTGCAGTTTTGGAAGCCACAAAGATGACCGTGGTTTTGTCGTTGTCTGGATGAGGTGGATGACATGTGACATACGAGGTTGTGCCTGTCACGCGAGGTAGCTGAGAAAAACATTCACTCGTACCCCCCTCCCCCTGTTTGCAGGGCGGGGGGTACGAGCGAAAGAAAAACATCAGGTTTGGGCAGACATCACATCACAGGCTGCGGTCCTCGTAGTCTTGGAGTCCAGTGGTTGAATAGTCCAGTTTTTATAGCGATTGGTAATCGACGCCCGCGGCATGTTATAGAGCCGATCAAGTACACCTGGTACCCTGCTGCCTCTGCACGGCCTAACCGCTACAAACGCCCGGCGTCCAAGTCTACTGAAAAGTCCACCTCCCTCTCATGCCACAGTGGGTCTAACAGTCCTTAATCCTCCAATTTCAATATGATTTTGCACACCCCCTAGGGAGTTAGGGATACTATACACGTACATGACGTACATGTACAGTATATGCAGGGGACGAAGTTGGGAAAAAAACACGCATCGCGATATCGGAAAGCTTGCGCGTAGTTCAGTCAAGTCAAAAGATCTATCTTTCTTTGTTTTTTTTATCTTTCTTCCATGGAAAGTGAATTTCGATTTTCAATTATTTAGCTTGACCCACCCACCCACAATTTGGAAAAAAGATCGAAATTTTAAAACATTGAAAATTCTGAATGGCCCCTAACGCCGGTTTTCTGCCGAACGTAATTCGGTCGTTCAAGATGAATGACCTCAGACAGAAGATCCTCGTCACGCCACAAAATTCCCATGGGCGCTGCCATGCTGAACTGTCAACAGCTGGCCCGGCGGGCGAGCTATGCACATGCGCGTTTTAAAACGGGACCACTGTGTTTCTGAATGGACCGATCCAGTAAGCACCGCCCCATGGTGTTTTGACCAATCACAGCCGTGATTTATGTCCGACGTGCGTGCACAAAAGTCCGACATGCGTGCACGCGCGTATGATGCGCGCGGCTGGAAAATGCACCGTGGCATTGGAGAGGAGCACTTGTTAATTTGCCCAGTGCGCAGTGGGCGGGGCTTACTGGGTCGGTCCATTGGGACGAGCAAACTGAATCGGCACGGCAGAAATTCGTCGTTTAGAGCACTGCTGCTCTTCCGCCGTTTTGAGTGGCAAGCCTTGCCTAACTTACAGCAGAAGTTTGGCAGTTGCTCTAAACGTGGAGTTTTTCCGTGTCGAATTCAAATAATGTCAATTTTTGGGCCATCATTTGAATTGGACACGGCAGAAGATCGACGTTTAGAGCGGGCCAAATACGAAACCAAAGCTGTGCTTTGAAGTTTTATTTCTTTTCTTTTTCTTTTAGCAGGCTCCTTTTCCTGACCATCAGCGTCCCTGCTTGTCACCCATGTTGACGTTTCTTCACTTGATCGGACCAGACTCATAAGGTAGGAGCCGCTTAACCTCAGGTTGCATTCTTAATTTGAAGTAAATCATTAACAAGTCATGCCTTTGACTTGGTCTTTGTATTGAACCATTTGACTTATTTGAAAATTCTAAAGTAAAGCAGATGAAAAAAATTTAACCTAACAGACTTTATTTCATCTCTTAAATTGCATGAGTACAAGGTAATAAGCAAATAATAAATACCATTTATAGAAATGCGGAATCCATAAAAAAAAAAAAATGTTTTGCAGTTCACCTCCAGAAGGCGCTATATACCCACTTTTAGAGGCACAATCATCTGATCTTTGGACTAAGTCTAACACTTTAAAAGTAATATATAATTTAAACAATCCAGACTGCTATCCAGACAACAAAGCCTGGATTAGATACGACACTGGCGGGTAGTAGGTTAATGTGTGTGAAGGATCGAAGTTGACTAAACTTTTAAAATTTCAATAGTCAAATTAGGTCCCACGCTATCAATAAGTACATAATTATCTTCTTCTTGTGTTGTAGTAAACACTTCAACTAGATGATGCTATCACTAAACCACTTACTGTACTGTGAGTCACTGTGGTGTGATCTCTCTCCCCTTGGGTAGGGCTAAGGTGAAGAATCGAATTTGCTTTATGTTATAGGTTTTCCCGGTTATTTTAACACTTGTGTCACTCGAATTTACTATATCGATACTTTAATTTCGTCCCCGATCATCGCCAAGCTCACTTCTTACTTTGAATTTCAGAAAGCCACCACTAGATTTCATTTAAGGTTCAGTATAATTCAAATTGTTAGCATTCCGATTCGTCCAAAATCTTTGAAATTCGTCTCGTGAAGCCAATTCTAGTAAAAAAATAAATAAATGAACAACACCAATATCTATTGGTATGATATTTTCCGATTCACGACTTCTCAAATGCTTAAGATATCAGGGTGAAGTGTCATCAATGAAAATAAATCATCCTCATCCAGTCGCCTTGGCAAAAACATAAGTTCAATATGAAAAAGAGAAAAAGCAAGAAAGTATCGGTGTACAACAAACGTATCACTCCTTGGTCCAAAATACACATCCAAGTACGCCTACTCGCCAGTGAGTAAATATAACGAAGTAATAAACAAAGTACTTGAGATCAGATTATCTGTAGGTCGTATCAGCACAATTAGTGCGCGTGATTTATCTGTATACATATCTCTACAAAATAAACCTAGTTTCTCGCACGAATTTTAATGTAACAGTGATATAAATTATTTATTCAAGACGAAATTTGTAATAAAAAAAACCACAATTTTAGAAACGAAATTATCATAATTGGGAAAAATAAAAACCATCTCTTCCGTGCACAGCTGTTTTAGAACGTTGTTAAACAAAATGAAATTTAGTCCCGTCGAAGATATATTGGAAATATCCTACAAATTTCATATATCAAAGCATTTTTATCTGCTTGCTTATCAAGGCTCATTTCTCACAAAACAAACAGAGACCGTAAACACATTATGGCAGAACAATACCAAGAGATGTACGAGGTCATATAAACAATGAAGAACATGTCCTCGTCAAAATAACTCATTACTGACAAACTATTCCTTTAAAATCTGTTATCTTTAGGTTATATCGCCATTAATTTGGTCTTTCGTTTCGTAATGGGACGAGTCTCTTTTGTTTCAAACACCTTTTTTGCTAAAGCTGCGGTTGAAAAAAAAACAGAAAATTTCAAATTCAATTTAAAATGTTTCAATAGACTGCACTTAGATGTAATTATATACCAATTTTCATCGCGCATAACATGTCATTATTTGATTGATTTTACGACCCTCGAGTGTCATGTAGAACTTTTTTACTTATTATGCACAGGGATGGCAACTGCTGCATCGGTTGGCTCTGCTTTGGAGAAGATTGGCGTTCATCTTGAGTGCAGCATCTGCACAGATAAATACAAGCAGCCGAAAGTACTGAACTGCCTCCATAGCTTTTGTGAGGAGTGTCTCGTAAAATACCGTGATGGCACATACGGAGGAGCACCACAAATCCCTTGCCCGGTGTGTCGTCAGGAGACGGTACTTCCACAGTCTGGCATCCAGGGCCTCAAAACCAACTTCCATTTGGTTGGTTTGATTGATGAGTTTGAATTACAGGAAAAAGTCGCATGCTTAGGTGAAGCAAAGCTCATCTGTCAGGTGTGTGATAAGGGAAACGAAGCCAAAGATCGCTGCTTGGATTGTGAGATGAATATCTGCCTGGACTGCTGCAAGACACACCAGCAATTTCCCATGTTAAAGACGCACAAAATATTAAGTTTTGATGACATTCGTCAGGGAAAGGTGAGCGTGCCTAAACTAGCAGACGAGTACAAATGCCAGAATCACAAGGAGAGCGTGAAATTCTACTGCAAGACATGTGACGAGCTGATCTGCCATGCATGTCCTGTTTTAGATCACTCGAAACCCGATCATGACATCATTGACATCGGAAAAGCTTCAAAAGAATTCAGACAGTCACTGAAGAGTGGCTTTTCTGCTTTCGAAGAAGACATAACAGGCCTTGAAGGATCTCTACGGGATGTGGCTGCATCTAAGAAGATTTTATACTCCAACACGGCAAAGGCTCGAAAAAAGGTGCAGGACAGAGCTGCTGAGGGCAAAGCAAAGATCAATGCTGAACAGACACGACTCTTCGATGAGATCACCACGCAGGAAAAGGAACAAAATAAGCGATTGGACGAGCACGAGAAGAAACTGAGTAACATGCTGCAGAGAAAGAAACATTGCCTACAGACCAGCCAAGAAGTAACGAGAAATGCATCCGATACCCATTTCCTTTCTCTCCATCCCGTCATCAGCAAAGACATGGACAATCTCAGAGGTCAACCACCTCCCACGATGGCACGATTGAAGTTGCATCCCGTGTTCGCTAAGAGCAAGAAGCTTGACATCGATCTGGGCAAGGTGATGGTGGAAGACACATGGGAGCAGCTTCAGTGCTTTGGAAAGCAGGGGAGTGGTGAAGGGGAGTTTGAAGTAGCCAAAGGCATTGCTGCTGCTGCTGACCCTGACGAGATTGCTGTGACTGACTGGAAGAACAAGCGAGTTGTAATCTGCAATAAAAACGGGCCTACTAAGAACTACCTTCCAATAAACGCAAGTAAGTTGTTAGTGCATGCACACACACACACACACACCCACAGACTTACGTTACATACCTTGTGTGGACATTGTTTTGTTTTCGTGTAGTTATGAAAACTCGGTACAAAAAATAACTTTACTTAAACTGTGAAAACTCTTTTAACCCAATTTTTTTTCTATGATTCCCTATAGTGTTTCTCTTCATTCTGCTACGGATAAACCTAACCCAAAAATGCCTCTAAACCTGTTTTCCAGAAAGGGCAAAACCTTATGTGGACACGGCTTAGTCCACATAACGTTAACACAACCTGCATTATGTGGACCTCTTTTGTTCACAAGTCCACATAGGGTATGTAACACAAACTCACACATTTCATGCATATCCCCATTTCTACGTCCTATACAAATATATAGGCCTAATGACAATAGTATTTGTTCTCTTTTAATTTCGGACAGCGACTAAAACTTTACCCGTGTCCCCCTACCCTCGAGTTCATTTTCTTAAAAAATTAAATCGCTGTGAAATTTGAATTTCAGAGACACACAGAAAGGGAAACAATGATTGTGCTTCAGTCATAGTCATTATAAAAATCAGTTCTATTTTTCCAGATTCTTTCTAGACTTGGTGCCAAGTCGGTAAGTGTTTTGTGTACGGTTACCGGTTACTGGCCACACGCACGCAAAATATTGCTGCAATGCGTGTAGTCTGGTTTCCAGACAAAATGATGCTGACTCATTCTGATAAAATACCGACTTGGAGAAAACGTTTTCATTGGTGTACACAACATATGAAAGTATTTTGAATCGCTAGCGAATTCTATGAGAGCACTCTGATCATTGGCGTTGCGGGGGGGGGGGCAAATATCCCTGTCCATCCCCCAAAAAAATTGCATTCAGGAAAATACTGCCCATGACTCTGATTGGTTCAGCTTCTAAGGCCGCCACGGAAGATCATTCTTATTACGGTTGGTAACAAACTTAATTATATGGCATACACGACTCATATAAATCAAGTATATCACAGTGTTACTTTTTATTTCTATAAACAATTGACCAAGCTGAGTGTATTGGTCGTTAAAACGTCGCCAGATCCGCAAACATGTCCCCGACGTATTGAGAAGAACTCCAGATGTAACGGAATGAATGAGCCCTCCTTTGCATAGCGGTGCGCGATTGGATATCATCGCAAAAATTCACTGCATATATTGCACTGCCTGCATATGTCGCCATCCTAAAAATGGTTTCCTTCCATAATTGTGTAGTTTCTCCCAAAGTACTGTAACGTGGAACGAATCTGGGGTTCTCACACGCCAGACGAAGGAAACCACAGACACTATTCTTCAGGGTTTCGGGGCTCTCCGGCCATTTATTCTTGCCACTTTCTTTACACGAGGCTCTCTCTTTATACAACTCACAACAAAAAGGAACGCTATACAAAAGTCACACTACTGAGTCGGCGCAGTCTGGCAACGGGTCTCCCTGGCCCAGCAGCAGGGGTCCCAACGCTACGGTTGCACCGTGGGTCCGTGCTGGCGCCCTCTGCCGGCGGCCCGGCACCGCCGTTATACAGCCCCCTCCGAGGACCCTTGTTCGTCCCCGAACAAGGCGGCGCCTCCGCTGGGGTATCCGCTTGGGTCTCCTGGTCTCCTCTGTGGTCTCCTCCGGGGTCACCTCTGGGGGTCTCTTCTGGGTTTTCCTCTGGGTTCTCCGTTTGTATCACCTCTGGGATCACCTCTGGGTTCTCCTCTTGGCCCACCCCGGGGTCTCCTCTCCATTGACTCCTGTGCAGAGAAACTCCATCGGCTCCGCTCCATTGAGTCCCGTGTAGAGCAACTGCGCCGGCTCCTCTCCATTGACTCCCGTGCGGAGCAACTCCACGGTTCCGCTCCATTAACTCCCGTGCGGAGCCACTATGTCGGCTCAACTCCATTTACTCCCGTGCGGCGCAACTCCCTCGACTCCGCTCCATTTACTCCCGTGCGGCGCAACTCCCTCGGCTCCGCTCCATAGACTCCCGTGCGGAGCAACCTCGCCGGCTCCGCTCCATTGAATCCCGTGCGGAGCAACTTCACCGGCTCCGCTCCATTGATTCCCGTGCGGAGCAACTTCGCCAGCTCCGCTCCATTGAATCCCGTGCGGAGCAACTCTACCGGCTCCGCTCCATTGATTCCCGTGCGGAGCAACCTTGCCGGCTCCGCGCCATAGACGTCCATGCGGAGCAACCCTGCCGGCTCCGCGCCATAGACGTCCGTGTGGAGCAACTTTGTCGGGGAACACGCATCCGGCGCTTGTACATGCGCGGAACGGGGCCGTTTCGGAGGGAAACCGTGCCCGGTGTATTGGTGTCCGTGGAACGGAGCCGTTCCGGATGAAACATGCGTCCGTTGTATGAATGTGTGTGTTACGGGGCTGTTCCCATCGCGGGCCCTGGCACGTGTGTTGATGCGGGGCGTCTCCGGACGATCAAGCCCGGCCAGCCCCGCTTTATCAACAGGCGCAACTCGGCAGTGTTCCGAGTGGAACAGAGCGTCTGTTGCGCCGTGGTGCACAGTGCGGCGCGATTCCCCAAGGGATGCGTCCGTTGTATGAATGTGTGTGTTACGGGGCAGTTCCGGGGGGAACGTGCACCCGGTGAATTGGTGTTTGTAAAACGGAGCTGTTCCGGAGAAAAAAATGCGTCCGTTGTATGGTGTGTGTGTTACGGGGCTGTTCCCATCGTGGGCCCTGGCACGTGTGTTGATGCGGGGTGTCTCCGGACGATCAAGCCCGGCCAGCCCCGCTTTATCAACAGGCGCAACTCGGCAGTGTTCCGAGTGGAACAGAGCGTCTGTTGCGCCGTGGTGCACAGTGCGGCGCGATTCTCCATGGGATGTAGCATGTGGGCCTAGCTGGCTCCCCGAAACACTGAAAAAGTCCAACTCCGAGTCATCCAACGTGACGAACGCTTTGCTGGCCATCTCACCAGGTTGGTTTACGCTCTGCGAGGCCCTGATCCAGCGTGCGTACCCGCCGAGTGGCGAGTCGGACGCCAGACTAACTCAACCCGGTGTATTCATGGCGAAAAACACTCCAAATTCTACCTGTTTTTCCTCCGTCAGACATCCCACCGCTGCCACCAATGTAACGTGGAACGAATCTGGGGTTCTCACACGCCAGACGAAGGAAACCACAGACACTATTCTTCAGGGTTTGGGGCTCTCCGGCCATTTATTCTTGCCACTTTCTTTACACGAGGCTCTCTCTTTATACAACTCACAACAAAAAGGAACGCTATACAAAAGTCACACTACTGAGTCGGCGCAGTCTGGCAACGGGTCTCCCTGGCCCAGCAGCAGGGGTCCCAACGCTACGGTTGCACCGTGGGTCCGTGCTGGCGCCCTCTGCCGGCGGCCCGGCACCGCCGTTACAGTACTGTTTTCTTATTTAAATCTGTTTCATTATTATTTAAATCACCAACGGCCAATCACAATAGCCGTAGTCAACGGGACCCGGGTTAGCGTCACTGCTGACCGGAAACGAGGAAAGACCATGTCATTATTTGCTTTCCTTTTTCCCGTTTTCCAGAATAAACCAGCACAAAACAGAAACCGAGTCGCCGAGTCCTCTTCCTACTTTTTGACTCTTAACACCCAGGGTCACACATGAATAACGGTGCGAGAACGCAATAGTCAAGTTGTTAGATTTGTTGCAATCCGGCCGATTACGTACTTCTAGTCTTATGCCAGCCGCGCCGAATGAGTTTGACTGAAGTTCACCGACAGTTTAGTCGACTTGTCACTAAGTCTAGATTTTTTTCCTGCGTAAAATCACTGTTATTTCGGAGGAGGCATTGTAGTTCATCAAGTTTCCTCCTACCGAACATTTGTCTTTCTACCTCTTTTATTAGCCCCCCCCCTCCCACACACACACACACACCTTGCCCTTCGAGTTCAAATATCATGTCCTCGTCCTCATTGCCCATGTTGTCATATCCTACAAAACTCGAGGTAAGAGAAATACAATTTTTCTTGAAAGGATGAACAGCAGCTAACCCACTCTTCGGAAGTTTTTTTACTGTTAAAATATCCTAAGTAAAGAGCGCCACCTATTGTCAGTAGGTGTCCAGATACAGATTTATTGTTCTACACCCAAATAAAAACTTTCCAATACGATGCTAATGAGAATAATACTAGAATTCTTGACCATCATAATTCCTAACGCTATGTGACATCCACAGTTTATGATAGCCAGTCAATGTCGAAAGAACACGTTTTTGATCAAAATCCCTACATTTATTATACAAACTTATTCGTGCACGTTGCATATGCATTTTAATTTTTTTCCAAATGATTTTAACATGTAACGAGCTGAAGTGGATCAGAAATACTTGACTCTCAAAAAGTCAGATTTATTTATAGTCATTAATTCATTCATTTCTGTTTTACTTGACAAGAGTAATAACTCGAAATACTTTCAGTCACCTGATCATTTTATTCAAAATTATTTTGTTTCCAGATGACGTTGTTGCTGTATCGAATCAGTGGGTGTGTGCTAACGTCGGCAAGATGATGGTTTACGATAGGGACACCACGCACAAGTTTGATTTCCGCACAGTGCCAGAGGATGAGGTTGGCAAGACAGTCGTGAAGCTCGTGAGCGTGGCTGTCATGCCCAACGGTAACATCATAGCGGGTGATGAGGAGAGAAAGGTGTTGACTGTGCACAATCCCAGGAATGGTGAGATCCTACACACCATGCCAGTGAACATAACACCTAACTTCTTGGCTGTACTAGGCAATGGTTGGATTGTGGTCAGTGATTGGGGGCAGGGAGTAATGGAGAAAGTGGAGGTGTCTAATGGCAAGGCTGTGACTGTAAACACAATCCAGCCAACAATCGACGGTAAACCGGTGAAATCATGCAGGGGTGTGTGCAGCAACAGCTCGGGTATCTACCTTGTAGTGAGCACAGGGTACTACAACGGTGGTCACATACACCACTATAACTGTGCAGGTCAGTTTGTCAGCTGCGTGTCCCAGGGGCTGTACAGCCCCCTAGGAATCACAATCACAGTGGACGGGCAGCAGCTGGCAGTGGCTGACCTGTACTCAGTAAAGATATATCACAAGGTGTGATGCCAACGATATCATTCAGCATTAGACCGCCTTCCTATACCCCCTTTGAATCTGTTTATGCCCGCTTGTATAAGACCTAATGGAGGCCTAGGTTTAAAATAAAATATATGAAAATAAACAAAACAAATTAATAACTAAGGACTGACAACGTGCAGGTTGAATGATGTCCTTATATTGTCTCACGTATTTATCTGTTCTTTTCTTTGATTTTACGACTGATGAATTTTGTACACGAAGCGTTATTTTTTTCTGAATTGCTCAACTCAGGTCCAAAATACACAATTAAAAGTTTCAAGACACGAATCGGCGCCAAAGTTTACTTGAAGCTAAAGATGAATGAATGTTTAATCTCATCTTAAATTAGAACTCTCCCGCATGCACGAAGTACACATTACGTGGTGAATGATCATTGATTGCCAAGTTCCTATTTCGCCCCGGCGAATTATTATCTCGCCGCGGCGAGTTACTATTTAGCGTATTGAACTGTGTTTTCATTCTTAATTTATTCTTAACAAAAGAGAAAGGACAACTTAGTTATTTCATAAATTATTTTATTTACTGGACGTGCTTAACAGTTAGAACCCAGATATAAGAAATTAGAACCCAGCCCTGTATGGGTGATTAGGCTGTTACTCATGCCAGAAGTTGATCACAGATCGCGAAAATCCATCACCACTCGCGAAAATCTTCCACAGATTGTGACAGTCAATCACCAAATGCAAAACTCCACTACCTATCGAGAAAGTGCATCGCCGATTCGATGATCACATTTAGTGCCTCTTTGGCGTTCCATAGGATCCAAAGAGTAACTCTCCGCGGCGAGAAAGTAACTCGCCGCAGCGAGATATATAGGAACTAAATTTTTCTTAATTTCTTTTGGCACTTCTACGCTTCCGTAAATAGCTCACTTGGTTGTTTTGTGAAGTTATAGCGATTGGATCTTCTGTTCTTTTTTGTAATAAAATGGACTTTTTTGGTCAGATTTGCAAGATCGCGTGGCCAACGGTCAACTTTACTTCATTGTGAATACTATTTTGAACATTATTTTGAATACAAACGTATCTCACTTGGAGGTCATCGAATGGAGCTGACGCTTTGCCTTCGCAACCACACGGCTGAATAGTTTCCAGTGTGCGTTGAGTACAAGACTTCGAATCGTTGGAGCATCGTTTTATGCAATAGAAATTGACAAATAAATTTCGACTTGAAATTATATCAATTGTTTGGAAGTGAAAGAAAAATTGACATTTCTATTGGATCAATGGTCGTTCACTTCGAATTATTTGGATAAAACATTTTCTACTAGTACATCCAAATCGACCATAGCCATAAATAACGCTTGTAACATATATGAACAAGTCAATAAAGTGACAATGTCTCACGATCCATCACCAACTTTACTAGAAGCAAACAATTCAGGAAAACGAACTGCTTATGTTAAACATATGAAAAAAAGAAATGATCAGAAAGGTATTATTAGCAAATAGTGCATTTAAGGTTCACGTGATTAAGCTTAATCTTTTATGCACAACTGACAATAATGTATTTTATACGTAATCGACTGTGTGGAATTGTTTTCAAATGTATGTCGTATGATTATCGATTGAAAATTAATGGTTTACCCAAATAACTACTGGCGTGTATATAGCTACCTTATTTTCACATTCCCTAACACATTTATCAAGATTCTACTAAATTCACAGCTTGAAAATGTGTATGTTCTCGCTCAACCATTAGTTGGAGGGAAAATCCGGGGAAAAAAACAAATCTTGTGTACCAACTGTTTAACCTGTGTTTTTGACGCTACTGAGGTTATTAATCATTTGTTGTCAGCAGGAATGTAGTCGAGTCCAGCACAAGTCCTTGCAACTCCGTCACAAGTTATCTTGAGCCAATCCAACTCACAAGCTATGTAAATGAGCTTTAAAAATGCATTATTTGTTAGTGTTCATCTACCGTTTACTTTTGAAGGGATTTGTGAATGGAATTACAGTGAACTTGTGAATGACTCGACGACATACCTGGTTGTCAGCCATTTTTTTCCTTGCATATTGCTATGTCCAATATATATTTTTACAAATGCGGAAACATGTCAAGTTAACAACTGTTTCAAAATTTTGAATTGCCTTGGAAAATTCACTGTTAAAACTATACTGCAACGACAATGATATAAACACGAATTGCGTAAATGACTAATGTAAAAAAGTTGATAATTTTCAAAAGCGTTATATGAGAATTTGATTGTAAAACTATTTTTATAAAATGGGACAAGAATTCACAGCACGATAATAATAACCGACAATGGTGCCTTTCTGTGATTTTGTAGTAGCCTTGAGTATTTAGTCTAGGTTTGGGTTTGCTTTAAATTATCTTGGTTTGGGCTGGGATGAGCTAGGTTCATTGGGTTGGGTGGGTTTTGTTGGGATTGTCTGGACTTCTTCGCATTTTGAAAACCATGACAAACATTGATTTGGGCAGTAGACTCGCAAGACATTACTCGTCGCATAAAACTCATCATTTAGTTTTAAACATTAGGATAAACCTGAACATAACTGCTCAAAGCACGGCTGCCCGTACAACCCATAGACTTTCCATCTCCAAAATGATTAAAACAATGGACATTATATTTCAATCAAGGCTGCTCAGCAAACCAGATGCTCGATATTCTGAAGTTGTAATTTAAAGTAATGTTAAATGCCGCACGCGCGACAGGTTATGTTTAACGCGTCAACTTGAGACTCATGCCGCATAACAGACCGACCTAGTCTTCAATGTCACCTGTAGAAATAAAATGCATCATGTGTCAATGATGGGTCCTAGAAGAGTGTCAAATAATGCTTCTGAAGGGATGCTTGTGAAACTAGACGCATGCAACTTGACTGCACGCCTGAAGCAAGTTTCGTTGATGCATATAGAATTGTGTGGCTAGGACCAATCCAGGCAGGCTATCAATTCTATCACCAAGGCCCCCTAAAATGGCAAAAGCATCGTGATAGCTTGAAAATCTGTCATGGGCCAGTTGGTTTGTACAGTAGCGTGCACAGTGGTTTCTCCATTGAAGGGGGCCTCATGAGTGTACAGTGATCACTTGCCCAGGATCGTCTATACGATGAGCCCATAATGAGAGACTTTGGAGACGTTGGTGGCAGCAAACACTCCGGTCCTTTTTCAATAGTTTGCGTCATGTTGAACATGCGCGCTTTAGGCCAAGTTCGCGCAAGGACTATAGTTGACCAATGGTTAACTAACGTTTGCCCGAACTCTGTCTAGTCGACGGTGGTTGACTACGCTAGTCGACTATTTGGAACCAGCCTACTGGGGTTGGTTGCATCGCTGGTAACCAATAGCCGCGCGCATTCATAACGCTAGCAGAGAGCCAGGATCCAGAAGTTTTTGCGATGACAAAGTGACCAGCGTTTGACTAGAGACGTTCGCACGTTGCTATCAGTGCGCAGGCGTAAGGTACGTCACGAATCAACCACTAGTTGACTAATGGTCTTTGCCCGAACTTGGCCTTAGCTTAAGCTAACGGAAACAATTGAGAAGATCCAGTGTGTTTGCTGCCACCAACGTCTCAAACTCTCCCATTATGCTTCTTGCCACAGTGCCAAGTCTTTATATTTACATATAATATATCTAACACATTTCGTATGTATTATCTAGAGATTTTAGAGTTCATAGAACCTCTAGATCTTATTCATGTCAGTCACGTGTCAGCAAGTCACTCACATGCTCTTCCAGACTCAAGTCAAGTCACAAGCTTTTCCACTTTGACAACTGCGTGATCTTCATTTCTTTAAAGAAAATATCTTGAGACATCGCGCTGTAAGAAAATAATATTTTCAATTTGAAATTTTTTTTCTCAGAGAGGAGAGAACTGCTGATTCACCGCATAAGAAAAAAAAATAAATTCATTCATTCATTTCAGAGGAGAACTTGACTAGCTGGCTCATTATGTCGATAAACGTGACCGGCCAGCCGAAGGCGACGCTGTCTGATGGTGGTGGAGATAGGGGGAAGGGCACCATACAGAACAGAGTTAGGGAGATGTTGTTGCCAAGAAACGTTCTGAACAGCCCGCAACATCCGTGTATAGGTGCCATCAATGGACGCAGAGATCTGTTTGGTCAGGGTCCAGGACTAGCAACCGTAGAGGAGAATGGATTCTACGGAGGCCTTGAAAATGTTAAGTTTGGTGGTCTTGGAGATCGAGGATTTCCACACTTTGGTCAGTGAGAACGGAGCAGACCAAGCTTGAGCTTTTCTACACTCGATGTCATGAGCTGTGTTGGTGTAGGAGCCCAGATACTTGAAGTCATCAACTTTATTGAGCTTACTGCCATCTAGTGCAGTGACGTCATCAGAGGTAGATGGATCGATGACCATGTACTTAGTCTTCTTAGCGTTAAGAGAGAGACCAAGTATATTAATCAGGGATAAAAACGTACGCCCTTGTGATGAAGTCGAGACATTCTATTCGCCCGACAGGAACGAGGAAGAATACGCGAATTGTCTACAATGCATTTACTACAAAGTACAAAAGGCTGTATTATCTTCCAATACAAAACGACTAATAGGAGTCAAACAATGAGCTCCGAAATGAATGATATTTTCCATTTGGTGATTAATTGTATTACTATACGTTCGGTAAGTGCATTACCGAACAATGCATAAAAGAATATTTGTATTGCCCATTGCAAACCCATATAGGGTCATCCTATGTCAGACCGACGCACTTTTTTACCTCATGTCTTTTAAAACTGCATCATTTTTCATAAACCATTGTCAATCTTGTACGATTTATATTCTTTGGTAGCAAATGGGGTATCAAAATGTAGCTAACAAAATCCCTAAAGGTCTATATAAATGACGTCCTCATAAGACGATCAGATTCAAAATTATGATCTCTCAAATGAGTGTAGATTTTTTTCGGTGTTTAGTACAACCAGATAATTTGTTGATATTGTGCAAGGAAAGTATAGTGTATTTCCTTAAACTGA